AAATGGAAATGGTCATCACTAACTAAGATTGGGGATTAAAGGTTGAGGCCAAGGTGTCTTAGGGCTTCTAGAGGTTAGGGGCTTTGGGATTTGGGGCAATGTGGCGTAAACACCCCACCAATTTCTGAAAAAGATGGATCCTAGATTCGGAGTTTAGGGTTTTGGGGTTTAGGGTGTTCATGTAGGGCCTTAATACTTACCTATATTATTTTGGGGGTTCCCTATTATAACTATAGTATACTGGGCCCCTAAACCCTATTCTAACTAGTAAGGCCCCTGTATTAGGGTTTTTGGGGTGAGGACTGAGTGAGTGGGTCTTTACAGGAGATCGCCTTCCTCTGCCCGGCACACGTAGACCAAGCTTGGCGGCGCGAAAGCACTCGTTTAGGGCTTAGGGCTCAGGGTTTAGACCACACCGGCGTAGGCCCAACTCGACAGCCCTTAAAGGAAGCACAGCGGAAATACTGGTACTAACTCTTGACGGAACTATTATAGCATCACTATAGATCCCTGACAGCTACCGCCCGGAGAAGCAGAACTTCTCAGCTTCCCGCAGCGCCGTAGGAAGGGTTGGCGTCATGGAACACCAGCAAAGGAGGCTGGCCTCCGAACTTTGGAGTTGAACCCAGATTATAGGGTTCCTTTAAACGGTTACTATAAGGGTTATTACAAAGGTTCTACAAGGGGTTTAATGTGGGGGCCTTAAGAATTAGAACAAGGTTTGGGGGGTATATTCTGCTATAATTATAGTGAGGAACTCACCCCAAAACATAGTACTCTAGGGACCTTGAAGAATACGATAGGGTTGCAGAAGGGTTAGCACACAAACTCCTTAGATGTTTGATAAGAACTCACAGTTTTGGGGGCAGACGAGGTGTATCAGTTCTCACTTTTTGAGGTTGGGGCGGGGGGTGTCTAGAGGTCGGGAGGGTTTGGGTGACCCCATGCTGCTCCTTTATACAGGGGCCTTAATAAATAGACTGGGGTTTTGGGGCCCATTATACTATAATTATAATGAGGAACCACCAAAACAGTATTGGTAATTATTTAGGCCCCGACATTATCCCTTCATCTCCGCCAGCGCTGGGCAATAGCGGCACGAGTCGCAATCACGAGGACTCAAGCTTGATGCTAAACTAAGATGCTGCAGAGACGCCCCATTTCTTGTCTCTCCAGATCGGTGGCACCGAGAAAGAGAACTCCCTCCTGGTCCGCGAAGTGTCGGCTTGGCTGTAAGTTTGACGAGCACCAAAACAGACAAGAAAAGCAAACCGAACCCCGCGGGGCTTCTGAATGTGGGTGGTTGTCAAAATGATGGTCCCTTTTTGGGTCCTTATTATAATACGGCACCTATTATTTAGGGTACCCCAAAAGGAACCATAATTTTGACAACTACCCATGTGACTGTGATCACAGAATCCTTCCGGAAGGCCTAGCCCTTAAACCTTCACGCCTGAACCTACTTGGAGGTTCATGGGTAGTTCTAAGTGGGGCTATAAGTAGGGTACCTATAATAATAACCCATATTAAAAAGGGACTTACAACCTTCCCTCTAAGGGTCCAAGTAGTCCTTATTTATGGTTTTAGGTACCCAAAAAGGCCCCAAAGTCCAATAAATAATGCACACTTGGACCCTTAGGGTCCGCTTATAACTACCCATGAACCTCCAACTAGACACCCTAAGCCCTAAACCCTAAGCCCTAAACCCTAGACTCGCTCGACCTGACAAGGTGCAGTGCTTCCTTGGGAAGGATGAGACTTAAACAACAGCGTACGACGCAAGGGTCAGAACCCCTGACCACTTAAAGACTTGCTGGGGCTCAGCAGGGCATCCCCAATCATCGATAGTTGCTAAGCCTAAACCCTAAGCCGTCACCTTGTGCGATTTGGGGCTTGAGGTTCAGGCCTTGGCCCCCCAACCCTTCAAGCCGTCAGCCCTAAACTGTAAATCAACACGAAACAGTCTCTCGTAAATAGTGATTTTATACTCGAGTATAGAGTATAGAGGTATAGTGTCGTGTAATATCATAGACTATACTACATAAGGTAAGGGCGGGGGGGGGGGGCTGCAACGTAGGGAGTTCTGAAGGAAGCCCCGATCTCCTAAAAGGGTTGACGGTTTAGGGTACTACTTAGGGTTTAGGGTTTAGGGTCAATTTGGGTTTACCCTAAACCCTGAGCCCTGAGCCCTGAACCCTAAACCCTAATATTTTGCCCTTTTGTGGGTTCCTTGTTAAAGGTTTCCGAATACATATACCTCCTTCAAAAAGTGGGCTAATCTTAACCTACCAACACCTAGTTTTGGGTAGGGTGCTTTGTTTTAAGTTCCATATTAGGGCATTTCAAACACCTACAAGAGAAGGTAGGCGATGCTATGTGGTGATACTTTAGGGCAGGGTTTCCCTAGGCCCTAGGGTTACTATGAGGGCTTCTATAAGGGATGTTGTAAGAGTTAGTATACGGCTCACTCGAGGTTTCAGGGCTCCTGGTAGTCGGATGAACAAACGCTTACCTCAAAGGCTCCGGCTCTCCGCAGGACCGTTTTTGGAGGGGTTCTAGGATATACTCGGAGCTTAAAGAGTAGGACTTACATAAGGAAACCATGGTAAGGAGCCCTCAGAACGGCAGGTACTTGGGGGGCCCGGTATGGTATCCCACAATCGGTTTCTCATCCCGGGCGGGTATGCCTTGAGGGTTTACCCTAAACCCTAAACCCTAAACCCTAAACCCTAAACCCTAGGGCCGAGCCACACAAAGGAGTATCTTCCTTGCACCGACGGCTCGTCATGCAGCTTGTTTCCTAGCCGTAGGGTCTCAGGGTCTCCGAGTTTAGGGGTTTCGAGCTCCCCAGGTTTGGCTTAGGCGGGTTTAGGGTTTAGGGTTGCCTAACACAGGGACCTTACTCTTCGACGCTTGTAGTCATCAACACGTTAAGCAGGACACTTTTACTAATTACTCAGACCATGTTGTGTCGTGGCTGCAAATTGTGGGGAGGGGATGTCCAGTCAGATTTTCGGGCGTTCAGATATCCTGCTACCTTCATACCAAAAAACAGACAATTCTTTAGTGAATGCCCTTCGGCCTTAAACTTAAACCTTCCTGCGGTTTCGGGAGTATGGGAGTCCGGGAGTGCAGGTCTTCAGACTCACGGGGAAATCATGACCTTGAAGAAAACAGGACGACCATGCCCACCACCACCACCACCACAACAACAACAACACCAAAATAACAAAGAAAGAAAGAAAGAAACAAACAAACAACCAACCAAACAACCTAACTAACTAACTAACTAACTAACTAACTAACTTACTTACTTACTTACTCACTTACTTCCTTACTTCTTAACAACAATGAGAAAACAGCAATAATACTAACGATAACACTAATACTAGTAACAACAACAACACCAACCGGTGCGATTTTAGGGTTGGACTTAATGGTATCTTAAGGAGGTTCCATGTTTTCTAGAACGTTTTCAACCATATTTGGAAGAATTTTAATGACAATAATTGGCTAAAAGTATTTATTGGCTTTCAACAGGGGTCTATTGCGTTTGGGAAGGGTTTCAATGGGCTTATCGCCTAATCACAGTATCATAACATCATGTCATGATAGCATGACGTCGTCGCGCCATCGGCATGGCACCTCTTGGCATCATGTCATCATTTGCCCAGCACAGGGCCATCTCACCATGCCAAACAAACAATTCAACCATCACAAGCCCATCGTACCATGATAAGGTAGGGGCCTTGATAATTCGAACAGGGTTTTGGGGCCCTTTATACTATAGTTATAACAAGGACCGGCGGAGCACTTTTTTTTTTCCTAACGTTGGCGGTCCCCGGTTTCCCTTGCTAAGGTTGGCGGTCCCGTTTTGGTTAGAACTACTATGCACTGCAGCATTTCCTATTGTTTTGCATCTAGCTATTAGGCAACTGCAATTAGCAGGGTGGCCTTTTGGGCTAGGGCTGGGGGTGGGGTTGGAA